TTTGGCTGTATCACTTTATTATGGTATAAATCTGGACAAGCATCCCAACTTCTCAGAGCTCAGGTTTCTATATATACACATATATATATATTGATGGAGAAGAGCTACACAGGCCCTTGGCTTGCCTCCATTTTGTTTTTCCACAGAATGCTTTGTTTTGGAAATGTAGGTTTGTGCTGCTGGGCTCCTGCCTCATGTATCAGAATGGTTTGTGACTGTTTGAATGGTGTGACTTTTCAGGAATGTTCTATTAAGCTCTGGCCCCTCACAGAAGGTTCTGTTGAACTCTTCCCCTCTCAGGAACATTCTGGAACTCCTCAGTGTGACCAAGCTGTGGGGAAAAGGAGGTGAGACGACAATGGGAGCTCCCAAGGCAGCACTGGGAGCCTACGATGCACAAAGAAGTTGCCAGGAATCAGAGAGACATAGATGGATAAGCAGTTCTTACAGCACTGTTGGGAAGAAGGGAGAATCAGAAATGAATGTCACCAGTAACTCTCCACCACAGGCCCCTGTTTATTCACTTCCATTCCCTCCTACATCCAGTCTACACTCACTCCTTTACTAAAAATTCCATTTGCTTCCCCAAGGGTACATGGTAGTGTTTTCATCAGGAATGTGTGCAACTTATTCTGATCCAAAAATCCAGAAATTGAAAAAAACAAGTTGTCTAACACTATTGAGTAATTGCAGGACAAGGACAGGACCTGATAGCACATGCTGTGCTTTGGAAAGGGGAAGATGAGAGAGACACAACCAGTCACTAGCCCAGAGTGACCTGAGCCACACCGGGCAGGCTGTGCGCTTGTCCCCAGAACTGAGACTTGTGTGTAGCCTCAGGAAGAACTCTTCGTCCCATGCTAAGAAGTCTCCTCCTGTATTCATGTTTCCCACCTTCAGCTTGGAGATTCTCCCTTCTCCATTTTCTTCCTCACCCACAGCTGAAGAGGTGTTGGGAATAGATCTCCCTCAGGAGGAAGGGAAAGAGGGCATGGATATGAGAATTTCTAAGTCACATCCTGCCCAGATGGTTGCATGCCCCTGGAAGCCTCCTGGTTCCTGTGCCAAAGTCATAACCAGTTTCTCACTTACTTGAATACAGTCAAGAGTACATGCATGGCCATGCCCACATTGCTTCTGAAACGGTCTCTAGAACACCACACAGAGAGTCTCGATTCACAGTGGGTCAGATTACAATCTGTTGGCTTTATGGTGATGCAAAAGCACCCACACAACCATTCTGCTTTTTCATTTCCAGGGCAGTCTTCCATAAATCCTGTGAGACATTACACACTTTATTATGAAATAGGCTTTCAGTTGGTCCATTGTGCCCAACATGGGCCAATGTAAATATTCTGCACACACTGGGCTAGGCTAAGCTAGGACGTGGGGCAGATCAGCTATATTATGTGCCTTTTCCACTAACAATATTTACGAGCTGCAGTGGTGATTAACCAGGACATAATAACACCAATGTAAATTGAGGGACATCTGTACTTCTTTGGTTTCCTCCCTTTCAGGGGAATGTCACACAATGAAGTGACTGGTGACTGTTGCATTTGGAGGGACAGTGATTGTGTCCTCTGCCCTGATTTTAATTAAGTTTTAAAAACATATTGCCAGGGGATTTAGCTCAGTGGTTCGGTGGCCTGCCTTGCAAGTGCAAGGACCGGAGTTCAAACCCCGGTACCCCCCCAAAAAAAAAATCTATATATATATTGCCAAATTCTACTCCTCCTTTTCCCAAAGCATTTTAAGTAGTTGAAAGGTTTCACTGTCATTTCAATGTGGACAGCTTTCTCAATCAATCTTTGACTATAAGATCAACAATATTATTGTCCACTTTGCCAAACCCTGAGATTTTGGATATTCTTTTTTTCTTTTTACTTCTGCTTACACACTGGTCAATTCTTTCCCAAGCTCACCTTATCTTGTAACACCTTTATCAAGCAAGCTTACATCAACATTGCTACCAGTGTTAAGCTTACTGACTTCTAGATCTCTAAATCCTTTGGGTCTGTGGTTCATTGAGTCTGTCGGGTACAACTTCCTCCTCAGGGCAGGTGAGGATTTGAACAAATGTTTGGCCACGGATCGATAAGAAGAGCCCTCTTTTGGGCTTCTCTCATCAGAATCTTCACTGCCTGCCATTATCTGTTGTCATGCTAACTCCACGTACTTTACATTTCTGCCATAGCTGTATTTCCCTTCAGTGTGACCATTCCCATATTTGTCAAGATTGATTATGCTGCTATCATAAACGATACCCAAATTTTAGCAGTGAGCAATAAGAGATTATCAAGTATATTTCTTGCCCAAGAGAGGTCAGGGTGGGGGACAGGAAATGCTCTACACATCAGGTGTCCAGGCTGGCAAAGGTGGCACTTCCTGTAGTTCCACGTAAAGCCACACAATGAGGCTGCATGGCCTGCAGTGGAGGTGAAGAGAGAGGAGCCTTGTCCCAAGCATGGGACTGCCTCCTCACAGAAGTTCCTCATGTAACCCTGACTCAAGCAAGTCACGGGGACATCTGCAACGTCAAGAAAGTCTTAGGCTAGCAGGAGGAAGGTCTTGGAATGCATTGATAGTGTGCCCCACAAGCAGTGAAGAAAGAAAGGTATTCAGTACATGACCTAAGAGAGAAATTAGAGAGCTCAATTCTTAATTGTCCTATTCCACTAGATGGTTGAATTGAGGAGTTCGTAGACTCATGTCTGGATCACAGACCCAAACTATCCTATTTCTCAGCCAAGCCCCTACTCCGATCATTGGCTCCCAGAAAGTGTGCTGTCAGTAGTGGAACAGAGTGTGGAACATGGCTGGAGAAGAAAACAGCCCTTGGGACTGTTTGTGGAGGATGGGGGCTGGGAGAGGCTTTGGTAATCACTAGATGAACATGTTTGGGAGACAGTTGCCCTCCACACACCAGAACTATATTGATCTAAGTGGTTTCATTCTTTTAATTTTTCCTTATTTTGTATGTACAAATGGTATAGGGAAAAGACACTAGTCTTTATCCTTTCCCCTTTTGGGGGCATAACTTCCTCTGTTACTATGCCAGATAGTTACTCTGTTACCATACCAGACAGTAACCAAAACATCACTTCTGAGGGGCTGTGCCCTGCATATTTGAAATGAACTGCTCTGTCCTTAGCCTTCAATCTCAAAATGCCCATCAAGAAATATGTTACTGCTGGGAACCCAAAATCATGGTTCTTGTCAATTCTTATCTAACTGTTGCTCCTTTCAGCAACATAATCCAAGCAGATACCTTAATTGGAAACTGTTTCTCTTAAAGTAGCACAGGATAGCTTTGCATTTTTGTCACAGAGTCCATTTCCCATTCATAAGTCTGTATTATTTTTTCAAAGTTAGGATATTAAGGATACACAAAAATTTGTGATCACAATCCCTCATAAGTCAGTTATAAGTCTGAGTCTTTGTAAAACCAAACCATATGCCCATGAACCCCTCTCTCATACAGCAGGCTCTTTTCTTGTTGGTGTCCTTCAAGTCTGGAAGTGCAAATGGGTTTCAGAAGCAGTTTGGCTGGGCAGGCATGAGGTTTTATACATGTTCAAAGGTCAGAGAGGTTCATGTCAAATCTACATGTGCACAGAGAAAGGGGGATTCAAGGGTGGGGCTTCTGTGGGCTGTGGACGTATACATCCAGTCAGTCAATCATCCAATCAACAAACACCTCCTAAGGGCTTCAGGTTCTATGCACTTTCCCAGGTACAAAGAAAGACAACACAGCTTTTTCTAACACCAAAATTACATTCTTAATGTTACATTAACAAAGTAAGCAGAGGCTTTGAGTAAGAACTGGGGTGGTACAAAGGATGAAAGATGCTTGGAGTCCTGTCCACTTCAAACTCCAAGGAGGCCTGGAGGGATGCCCCTGGCAGAGACCCTCTGGGTGAAAGAGTCTCATAAAAACAGACCTGAATCGAAGCCTCTGTGGACTTTTATTGATAGAACCAGGAAGCAAGGATAAAAGAAAAACTAAGGGCATCTTGACAGGAACTTATGTTGGGGACAAGGGAAGAACAGGGACAGTCAGGGTGGTCTGTGAAAGGACTGACTTTGGGACTAATTTAAATTATAAATTTGAATGACAAAGGCCAGAACATTCATTCTCAAGGCAATGCATTTTGTTCCTGCAGGGACTTGTGGCCCCGCAGCCTCTTTTGATTTCTAACCACGCATTCTGGGAAGTTTTGGGTGTGCTGCTCCAAAGTCTCTTATCTGCACATCCATCCCGTGCGTACTTCTGGCCAATCCGCCCTCAGACATTCAGAAGAAGGGGATGCAGTAATCATGAGCAGATTCCCTCTGCCCTATCTCATGCTCTCCATATTACCCCATGTGCCCCAGACATATGAGGAGTCAAACATATGCCCTGCAGGCCCTTTGCCCTTATTGTCACCTGTTTCTGCAATGGTCGCCCCCGAACCTTCATGGGGAAAGTCTGTCTTCACCTCATCGGATCCTCCAAAACCCACCCACTTCCAGCAGCAATGCCGATCTGTGTCGGTCTCACCTGCCCACAGCCCTCTGTCCTGTCCCCCTTTCATTCTCCATGGTGCTGTCACTATTGAAAACATTAATAATTATTCTTGTTTATTTATTACACAGACTCCAGCACAGCAGGGATGTGGCCTGTTCTCTGTGATCATCCATCCACACTGAGTGTCCTGAGTGGGGAACAGCCCTGTGACAGATGCTGGATGAACATCTGTGAGTGGCGAGACCAATGTCAGAATCAGAGCAGCTGTGACATTTCGGAACCTCTCAGGCAGCCTCGCTCCTCCTCAGGGCCCTGTCATTCGCCCCTTACGAGGCTGCCCAGTGCCAGTGAGTCTGCCTTTAAAAGTAAGACTAGGGTGGGTAGCAAGATGCCTACTCCACGTGTCTAACTTCTAGCAGAATGTGCCCATGAAGTTTTGTTTTCCTTAAAAGCTCAATGTGTACATAAATTATTTCCTGTAGCTGCTCCATCAAACTTGCTGCTTGACAACAGAGATGTATTCTCTCATGACTCTGGAGATCAGAATTCCAAAACCAGTACCAACAGGGCAAGGTCAAAATGTCAGGCAGGCCACACTCCCTCCTGAGGCTCTGGGAGAGAACCACCCCTTGTCTCTGCTGGTTTCCGGTGGATTCCAAGGTTCCTTGGCTTTTGTCTACTTTGCTGCAGTCTTCAGGGTCAGGGTATTAAAGTCTCCTTTTCTCCTCTCCCTCTTCCCTTCTCAGGGTGTGTGGGTCACACTTGCAACCCGCCGCTGCTTCCCTTTAATAAGGACACATACAATTGCATTTAGTGTCAACCCAGGTAACCCAGGATTACCTCCCCACCTCAAGATCCTTAATTTGAGTCTGCAAAGACTATTTTGGGAGGATGGGGAAGATATCATATAACATTTATGAGTGCCAAGGAGTAAGATATGGATGTCTTTTAGGAAGATATTTTTCAATCTACACATTATAGATTTTTTAATTTCTACTTAAAAGGCCATTTATAAAACATCTTATAATTTCAAAGACAAAATTAAATTAGGAAATGAGGAATTAACTTTCAGTATTCCTAAGTAGAGCTCTGTTTCTTGGAACTACTTTGGGTTTAGCATAGCATCCAATATGGAAAGATTCATTATAGTTGCTTCTAATGAAAGAAATCACTGGCTTTAAAAAAGCAAAATGCAATTATATCATATTGTAAAAATGAAATTTGTTTTTAGGATGCAAAAACGTCTAGTATTCTGGTTTCACTATCCATGTGTGTGCTCATACAATCAAAGAATATCTGTGTAATCTGTGGTAATGCAAACATTTCCTTTCATCCTTCTAAGGAATTGATATATAAAAAGTGCATTTCATCATGCAAGTATAATGCGTGAATGGTAGTATAAATATATCTCTAGTATTATGGATTGTATGTTTTATTTTTAAAAGAATACTGTTTTGCATTTATTCGTGGATTATGAATGAAGGAGAGACACTATTCTTCATTGACTACACTTCTATTGGTGGAGAACAGAACCCTCTTCTTAATAACAGATTTCTATCTCTGGCACCATCATGTAAAAGTTGAGAATGTCATGAATAATATTGAAGATTCAAACATAGATCCAGAAGAATCCTTAACCGCCCTAGATTTTAAATGATTTTAGAATCTTTTCAAAACCTCTTTAAAATGCAGTTATTTGAAATGCCATCATGTGTTATTTTGGCTAAAAAGGCATTTATATTGAGAGTTGTGAAGAAAAAGAGAAAATGGTGTGAAGTACATTTGGCTGAGATTATTCTAATTCCCTTTCATCCTTGAATTGCTGCGGTTTTATTGCTGTCTTTATCGAGGGCTTCTTAAATTCTCACAGTCCACATTCCCTCCAGTTCTAGGACACATATGTTTATTTGCATGTTTTAATCTGCTGAGGGTGTGGATCAGTGGTACAACACTTGCCTAGCATGTTGTAAAGCCCTGGATTCAATTCCCAGCACCATAAAACAAAAAGATTCTATTACCAAAGCTGAATCAAGAAGATATAAAGATTCTAAATAACCCAATATCAGTCAATGAAATTGAAGATGTAATTAAAAACCTGCCAAGAAAGAAAAGGCCAGGTTCTGAGAACTCTACTGAATTCTGAAAAAATTTAGAGGAGACCTAACACCACTGTTTCTCAAACTCTTTAATGAAATTGAAGGAAAGAAATGTTCCCAAGCTCATTCCTGGAAGCAAGCCTTACTCTGATACCAAAACCAGAGAAGGATCCAACCAAAACAGAGAGCTACAGGTAAAACTCTCTAATGAACATAGACACAAAAATCCTCAACAAGATACTGGCAAACAGAATGCAGGAAATCATCAAAAAGATCACACATCACACCTGACTGAGTTGGATTTATCCCAGGGGTGAAAAATCATATGCAAATCAATGGTTCCAAATATGCAAATAAATAAATGTAGTACATCATAGTTACAGAGCCAAGGACAAAAACCATATGATCATCTCAATAGATGCAGAAAAAACATTTGACAAAGTCCAACACCCATTCATGATAAAAACTCTACAAAAAATTAGAATAAATGGTTTCTATCTCAATCCAATAAAAGCCATCTATGACAAACCAACAACCAACATCAGACTAGATGGTTAAAACCTGAAAGTTTTCACTCCAAAATCAGGAACAAGACAAGGATGTCCACAATCACCAGTCTTATTCCATATAGTTCTGGAAACATTAGTCAGAGCAGTTACACTAAAGAAAGAAATGAAAAACATATGAACAGGAAAGGAAGAAGTTAAATTATTATTTTTGGTTGACATGATACTTTACATAGAAGACTCCAAAGCTCTACCAAATTAATTAAAAATAAAGAAAAAGAAACCCACCTGGCTTTCTAAGGCTTTGTAACTATCCCTGATAGTTTACAGGATTCATTCAGCCCTTTAGTTCAGGGATCCTAGTAGCATGGCTAGGATCAATATTGTAGGTTGGTTTCATCCTTTTTCTTAGAATCTTGTTAGCAATAAATTTAATTAAATAACTTATAAGACAAATCAAAAAGATTTGCTACAATGTCTATCAGGTAATCAGCTTGGCTGACAAGGTGACATGCTTTTAGGATAATTTGTCAGAGGTCCAGATATAGAAATGATGGGTGAATTGTGCTGGGTGACACTTACCCATGAATGATAGACACTGCTTGTGTTTCTTCATATTTTGTGAGCAGGCCACCAGCTGTCCTTTGTCTGGACTGTCTCTAAGAATGTTTGTATAGTGGTCAGCCTTGGGAGAGAACGAGACAGTGCCTCTGAGGAGCAAAGGAGAACATGGTGAACAACCTGGACTTTGAAGGCCAGAGTTCCTCTCCTCATGTGCAGGTGTCAGCTGACCCTCTGTGTGACCCTGTGGGACTGGAGCTCAGGCAGCTGTCACCCTAGTGGCTGTGGCCGCTGCAACTGCTCTGAGCAATATTCTGTCCCTTGTCTCTTACTCAGGAGTCTTGTGTCCATTTATGCTAAATGATAAATGGATGATACTGTAGCTTGCAAGGATGGTAAAATTTCAGTCCTTTCACGGTTCTTCACATACAAGAAAAGCTATTTAACGTTACACAAGATGTCACTCAGCTGAAGAAAAAAATTAAATGGAGCTTAGCATGAGGGAAATGCACGCAGAATTTTTCTGGCCATCTCTTATATGTCTTTGAGAATTAGAAAATGTCCATCCTAAAGGTAATAAAAGTTTCAAATCTCAAGCTCTGTATGTATAAAGGAAAGGAAAGTGTGCACATGATCCCCTGTATAACTGCTAATGGGCCAAAGAGATTTAGAAAAACTTTTAGCCTAAAAATACAAATAATATTTAAGTCAAAGTTACATTATAGAGATGAGGGACAGAAGGGAAGTGGGAAAAAACAAAAACCAAGATATCTCATGTAGAGGTACAGAATCCCCAAGATGAATGTGATCATACTGTATACCTAAAATGTACCAAAAACTTAATGAATAAAAAATAAGTAACCAAATAGATAAATACAAATAAAACAAAAATGCAGAGAAAATGATATGGAGAACTGTGTGTTGTTATATTTTTAAAGCATACTGAGTGTAAAATATCGTTTTTTCTTTAAAACATTTTGATTACTTTGAAAGCGCATCACAATTAATGAATTTTAACTTGATAGGGTTTAATTCTGTCTCAAAGATAGCGTAAAGGATCTACAAAACTAAAGGATAGTATTGTATTGCATAACTAGCAATAAAGCAAACAAGCTCTAGACTCTTCAAAATTGCAGAAAGCAAAAGGAAAAAGGAGAAAGAGAGAGAGAGAGAGAGATCCTAAAGAAGTATGTGAGAAAGTAACAAAGGGAATTGGTTTACATCAGAATTAAGTTTGTGAAATGAGGAAATACTTATTTTTCTTTCTATTTATCTATTTCTATTTTTCTCCCTTATAGCACAAAGGATTGCTTTATGATTGTTTCTTTAATTTCTGGAATCAGATAATCTTTATTTCCATTTCTCCTCCCGCTGTCTGTTGAAACTGATCATGGAGTAACACTTCATCTTTTTTAGGTTAATTTTCAAAACTATAATACCAAAGCATAATTGGTATTTTTCCTGAGCTTCCCAAAGGAAACAGTATTTTTATCAGCGAACTACTTGCAGTAAGTTTCTGTCTTCCTTGTAACCATTTCCCCAGGGTTACTTCCCAAGGACACTGCCCAGGTCCTCTGTGGTAGTGATATTCCACATAAGTAAGCTTTGTCAAGCTTCCCTCCCTTTCAATTAAAACAGGAAAAAATTGGAC